CACCTTCATAATAATTTTAAAAATAAAAATAAACAAAATAATATATTTGGGTTTTCAAATTCTCCTCTCTAGTTCATTCATTTAGAGGCATATGAATGTTAAATGTATAAAAAACACACATTTCATTGTCCATAGTCTTGCATTAACAGATTTCACAATCAATATGAATTGATGCTTTTCTGTATATACCAGTACTGGGACCTAAACTCAGCAACTCTCAATCTCTTGGCTTTTTTCCCTCAAGGATGAGGATCTACCACTTGAGCCATACTCCTACTACTGAATTTTTGCTGGTTATAGGGATAAGTCTCACTATGTTCAGCTGGGTTTTGAACCTCAATCCACAGATTTCAGCCTCCTGAGCTAGGATTACAGGCATAAACCACCAACACCATTACAAATTGTTCTTGTAGCTACCAAGCCCATACTGTACCAACATATTCAGTAATAATATTAAACTAGTAAAAACTAACATCTAAAACCTCTGGTTAAATTTTGTTAAAAGTGCTTGTAAAAGCTTATAATCAGCTGGGTGCCAGTGATTCACACTTGTAACCCTAGCTACTGCAGAGGCTGAGATCTGAGGATCATGGTTCTAGCCAGCCTGGGTAGCAAAGTCCACTCTTATTTCCATATAACCATTCAAAAGCTGGAAGTGGTATGGTGGCTCAAAGTGGTAGAGTGCTAGCCTTGAGCAGGCCCTGAGTTCAAACCCCAAAATGGACTTTAAAAAAAAAGGTTATAACCAGCTAGGCACAGCAGCACACATTGAGATCCCAGTACTCAGGAGACTGAGGCAGGAAGATTACTGAGTTCATGGCCAGTCTTGGGCTACAAAGCCAGACTCTGTCTCAAATTAAATAAAAATCTCACAAAAATTATTACAACAGTTAAAAAATAATATACATAGAACTGGCTAGGCGCCAATGGCTCATACCTATATCCTAACTACTCAGGAGGCTGAGATCTGAAGATCATGATTCAAAGCCAGCCAGGGCAGAAAAGTCTCCATGACACTTTTTTCTCCAATTAACCACTGAAAAAGCAGAAGTGGTGCTGTGGCTCAAGTGGTAGAGCACTAGCCTTGAGCACAAAGATGCACAGGAACAGCACCCAGGCCCTGAGTTCAAGCCCTACAAATGATACAAAAAAAGAAGACTTATAAGACACTAATAATTGTTGTGTTGGTAGCATTATGTGAATCCTTTAAAAAATAAAAATAAGGGCTGGGTGCTGGTGGCTCATGCCTGTATTCTTAGCTACTGAGGAGGCTGAGAGGATTCTGGTTCCACTTTAGCCCAAGCAGGAAAGTCCATGAGACTCTTATCTCCACTAAACTACAAAAACAACAACAACAACAAAACAAAACAAAACCCCCCAAAAAGCTGGAAGTGGAGCTGTGGCTCAAGTTGTAGAACTCTAGCTTTAAGCACAAAAGCTCAGGGACAATGTCCCAGGCCCAGTGTTGTTAAAATCCTAGGACCAGCCCACTTCCCCACCCCCCCAAAAAAAGGAAAGAAAGAAAATTAGACTGGGCATAGAGCTCAGTGGGTAAGGCACTTAGCATGCTAAGGGCACTCGGTTTGATCCCTAGTATTGACATAAATCCATTGATCACAGTGAAAACACATTTTAGAAAAAAGAAAAACCTTAAAAGTACACAGCAAAGTGAAAATTGTAGAGCTAGGATTATAGGCTTGAGCCACTGATGCCTGGTGTGTTTTAATTTTAGAAGCATTGCTCCTGGTGATCTGAAATCAAGGAACTTTTAACAGATGAAACCAACTAAAACCAATGAATCAGGAATTTGTTACAGAAATATAACCCTAAGGATGTCAAAAACTATTAATGAATATCAGGTAAGAGTGTAAATGATACTACTTTTCAATTAGCAAAGGAAATATTTGAAATGTAGGAATTATAAACTAAAATACTTTGGGATATTATCATCAGTGTGTCTCAAAAAAAACAAAAAGGAGGCACAGGTCTAAGAATTCAGGAACTGTACTTGAACAGCTCTGCCAGTAAACAGTTTTATGACCTGCAGTAAGTCTCCTTCCCTCATTACAACTCCTAAAGAGAGTTAGTTACTTCAGATGATGGGAAGATCTTTTATAGCTTGAACTGTTTGGGATCTAGCATTCTATTTAGGAAATTGGCAATGCAAATTTAATAAATTACTGAGGAAAAATTAGTGCAACTGGCCTGGTACAGAAGGACTTGTAAGATGTTTTCACCCTTGGCCATAGGCTGGTAGCTGTAGAAAAAGAGGTACTCGGTCACTTTGGCTCACATATGGGTTTTATACTGGCCAACCTAAAGAGAGCTATGTGTGAATTCTTGACAACCAGGTAGTGCAAACCAAAAAGAAGTCACTTAGGTAGGAGTTGTATGTCATCTTCACAGATAACACACACACACACACACACACACACACACACACACACACACACACACGGAGAAACAGAAACATTGGAGAAATAGGAAGAGATCGATTAGAATACCTCATATACATGTGTTGAAATGCCACAATGAATTCCTCCCTTGTATAGCTAATATGTGATAATAAAAAATGAAAAAAATATGGTGCCCAAGTAGGTCCAGAAAGACAATACATTTGCAGCCCACCTTACCTATAAGCAAAGTAGAACATCATTGCCATGTTAAACTACTCTGGACTCTTACATTTTTGAACGTGGATAGCTTAGGCAATGTTATTTGGCTGTACTTTTTAGACTCTAGGAATAGCTCAAGGAAATGATCACTGGGGTATACAAGTCTTCTAAATTTTAGTAACTGCAATACTAAAAGAAGTTTGAAAGGCAGGATTAATATGCATATGATATTAAGAATTAACAAAAGAGGATGGGAGCCAAGGACTCATGATTGTAATCCTAGCTACTCAGGAGACTGAGCTGTAAAGATCATTGTTTGAAGTCAGCCTTAGAAGACAAACTTGAAAGACTCTTACATCCAGCTAACTACCAAAAGGCTGAAAGTGGAGGTGAAATTCAAGTGGTAGACCATTAGCCTTGAGAGAAAAAAGCTAAGCAAGAGTATGAAACCCTGAGTTTGATCCCACAATCACCACAACAATCAATAAATTGACAAACTGTTCCTAGGTGTTTTCTTTTTTAAAAATCTGTAATAATAAATGGGGGTAAATAATATTAAAATGTAGCTACGTATGAAGATAGCATAAGGAATCTCACTAATAGCTCCTGAAGGATAAGGATTGTGGGGAAACAAGGAGAGGGGGGGTAGTCTGATTAAAGTATTATATGTGTATGTGAGAAAGTGTGGTGAAATTCTTTTGTACAATATATGCCAAAAAAGGAATGACAGGAAAGTAAAACAGGCTTTATGAGGAGGCAGTATCAGCTGGGGTTGGGAGAACAAAATGGAGAGGGTGAGTAATGGTGAATATGTTCAAAGTACTTTATATGCATGTATGAAAGCAGAATAATGAAATCTGCTGAAATTGCTTTAAAAGGGTGAAATTGGGATGAGAGAGTGATAGTGAGAATGATCGTGAGTGAGTACATGGTACGCATGCATAGAGATATCACAATGGAAAAGTTATACAATTAATGCATGCTAATAAAAATCTTAAAAAATCTGTGATAACAGAAATAACTACATTATTGCTGATTTTCCATTTATTTGTGATCAGTGGATTCTTATTATTACTATTCCTTCTTCTGTGGATTTGCTGAAATGAAATATTGATTATGAAAGTTTCTGTTTAAGCTTAAATACATTTTACTGATACAAATACAAGGAAGTCTCTGGTAAGTCATATAGCTATGACAATATGAAAGTGGCCCACTGTTTCAAATAATAATAACGAAAACAAGCTATAACAATAAGCTATAAAGAGAGAGCAGCTGCCTCTCTAGGCAGTCTTTATTCTGTTATATCAATATTGGGTGACTGGAATATTTTATCTCCCCATTTAAATGAAAAACAAAATGTACATAAATACCCCCATTAAAACTACTAAGAATATAGAGAGCTCTGTAACAATTGCATACTTTCAAGTAAGTATTTTGAGGAAAGTTTGCAATTGTAGCATTTGGATTTCAAGCTCCCTTCCCCCACCTCATTCCAATTCTTCCCTTAATTAAGGCATCCTCATCTATTCCAGTGCCAGTAAAAAATAGAGGGCATCTCTTCTTACCTCACTGATCTATTACCATGAGCAGTGGTACTTCTTCCCCTCCTTCATGCAATTGTTGCACTTCCACAGTAGCCACTGGTCTCCCAGTGTCCACACTTATGCCATTACAGTCCACTTTCAACTTAGCAGTTAGGGACTTGTACTTAAACTGCAAGTCAAGTTCTGCTGCCTGGCTTAGAACCTTCTCATGGCTCCCTGTGATACTAACAGCCAAACGCATAATCATAGCTGACAAGCCCCTACACCTATCTACTTCTCCAATTTCAGTTCCTGTTGAAAACTTTGTGCCCACTCCCACTTGCACCTTAACCTTCTTTTACTAAACTTTTGACATGCTGCCCTTCTTTCTGATCCAAAATGGACCCAATTTATATTCTCAAATCAGGGCCGTTGCCTGTGCTGCTTCCTTTTCTTCCATCTCTTCCCCTCCATAGCTGCCTAGCTGATGCCTTTTGGCCTTTAAATCTCAGCAAATGTCATCTCCTGAGAGAGGCATTTCCAGACCACTGAATGTGAAGTAACTGCCTCTAAGCACTCCATTCAGTTTTTTAAAACGATTTCCGCCTGGAACTTGTGACTATCTGAAATTAGCTTGTATTTGTCACATTTAAGCTCGTCTCACCCTCATCAAGATTAAATATTCATAAGAACAGAGACCTAATCGTGTTCACTATTGACTCCTTAAGTTCTCTCAGCAATGGCTGGCATGGACTAAAATGGCTGGCATGGACTAAGCACTTGGTTATGAACTGAAAGAATAAATTAGTGAATGTGATGGAGAGTCATACCAGATAAGCAAAAGATAGGCTCTTAAAAATACCTTTTATGTTGGAAATATCGATATTGAGCTGTCCAAGTTTCTCGCATGTTTTCTCTATACACTCATAGACAGACTGAAGAATTTCCTTTGGGTCTTGTTCTACCCATCTTTGAACAAAAGAATGTATAGCATTAGTCTACAAGAAATCAATACAAAAGTAACTTAATTCTATAGAAATTTTCACTTATATAGGCTTTCTTGGAAGGATGGTAGAAACCAGCAGGAAAGGGGAGTCTAACAAAGAAGGTGAATTAGGAAGAATTTGGTTAAAGTAGAGCTGTAGTTCAAGTGGTACAGTACTAGCCTTGAGGACAAATGCTAAGAAACAGTGCCCAGGCCCTGAGTTCAAGCCCCAGGACCCATATAAAAAAAGGAAGGATGATAAAGGAGAGGTGGAGATGAATTTGATAGGGTACATTGTATATATGTATGGAAATGTCACGAAAACCCTCCCTGTATAACTAGTATATGTCAATAAAAGCCTTTTTAAAATGTTTTATTAAAATTTAGGAAACATTTTAACCTCCTTCTAATAACTATTTCTCTAGATAAGTGATTGATCTAAATTTTCAGACTGAGTCTCAGAGCAATTTTGGTAAGGTATTAGCAACTCAGAAGCATAAAGGCTAATAATAAATGAGACGAGCTGTCTTGGAGAATTAAACTGATTTAAGGAAACCCAAAAGTAGAAGCAACCCAAACTACAAAATTCTACTCAAAGATCTGAAAACCGCAATGAAAATTCAAGTGTCTTTCTTCCCTGTCTTCCTCAAGCCTGGCTAAATGTTTCCTTTTCCTTAATAAGTTCTATCACTAAATTCTCTTTTCAAACCCCAATCTCCTATTTCTAATCCACACAAGTCTTAGTTATCCTTGTTCTAAATAGAGGATTCAGGCCTATGATGTCATTTGAATGCTACTAACATATAAAAAGCTTATAGGGACTCTATTTAAAAATCAGAGAACTAGGCTGGGATGTAGCTCAATGGCAAAGCCATTACTTAGCAAGTCCAATGTCCTGGGTTCATTCTTCAGTACCAAAAAAAGAAAAAACAATTAAAAATCAGAGAACTAAAGTCAGGCACCAGTGTCTCATGCCTGTAATCCTAGCTACTCAGGAGGCTGAGATTTGAGGATCATGGTTCAAAGCCAGCCCAGGCAGGAAAGTTCGTGAGACTCATCTCCAATAAACCACCAGAAAACTAGAAGTGGTACTGTGGCTCAAGTGGTAGAGCACTAGCCTTGAGCTGAAGAGCTGGCCCAGATTTCAAGTCCCACAACCAACAACAACAAAAACTCAAGAGAACTGCTTTCATGAAAAGATAATCAATCGTATGAATACACCTATGCAACAAACAACTTAGAACTTAGAAGAGTATTTCTATCAATCCAGAAGGCTTTTTCATGTTCCTTTCAGGTCAGTCACAAATGCCATAGGAAATCACTTTATTGATTTCTACTGTTCTAGATTAGTTTGCTCTATTCTTAAATTTCAGATAAATGGAGCCACAGAGTATGTACTGCTGTGTACGTTTTCCATTATCTATCAAAGCAATGAGATTTATTCATACTGTATCTACTCACTTTCTAAAAATGCTGAATAGTATTCCACTATAACCTGTTCCATAATGATAGACATGAGTGGTTTTCAGTTTGGAGCTATTATAAGTAAAATAGCTATAAATATCCATATGAAAGCCTTTCAGTGACTATCTCCATTCAATTTGTTTGGGATAAATTTCTGCTGCTGCAGGTGTGTGTTTAATTTTTATACAAAAGTACCATATAGTTTTCAAGGTGTTTTATCAGAAATATCTTTAAATTTTAAATCAATATGCTCAAAATCATATTTAATTGCTATTACTACACATGAACACTATTCTCAAAAAGGATGATTATTTTTGTATTAGATATGTGAATTTCTTCAATAAACCCTTTCATTTAAAAAATTTAGACTCGAGTAAAACATCACTTTGGCAATAATAGGGATGCAAATATTAATGACTTCAAAGTTAACAAAGAACTTTGGATATTTAATATTCTTTTGCTATCCTTTATCCATTACTGTCCTGTACTGTTATTGAATTCTCAAGTCACCAATTACCCACATATTTTTGCTGAACTACTGAGTTATTGCTTCTTTTCTTGACCAATCCGAGTCCCTCAAGTCTTCTCAAGAGAGTGGCCAAATTTACTTCACAAATCCACAGAGCATGTGGGTAAAATGAATCAATAAGCCTGACATGTCTTTACGTATTAAATTAGGCAACATACCCTTCTCTTGGGAATTCCTGTTTTATTTCCACTTGATGATGACTAAGAAGTTCAGCTGTTTTTGAATTGAAAACCTGGGAGAGGGGGAAAACACATTTAATATTACATTTAAAATGTAGGTAGAGCAGTGTTAGTGGCTCACGCCTGATTTGTAATCCTAGCTACTCAGGAGGCTGAGATCTCATGGTTCAAAGCTAGCCCTGGCAGGAAAGCCCATGAGACTCATGTCCCATAAACCACCAATAAACTGGAAGTGGTGCTGTGACTCAAGTAGAAGAACACTAGCCTTGAGCTGAAGAGCTGAAGGACAGCACCCAGGCGAAAAGCCCCATGACTGTGGTGTATACCTACCATCACATCACTGGGGAGACAGATTTCAGACTTTAATCTCAAACAATAAGAACAAAATGCTAGGCACAGGGTGGCTCTAACCTGTAATCCTAGCTACAAGGAGGCAGAGATCTGACCATTGCTATTGCTATACAAGACCAGCCTAGACAGAAAGGTTCATAAGAACTCTTATTAACAATTAACTACTCAAAAAAAGCAAAGACCTGGAGCTGTGGCTCAAGTGCCAGAGTGCTAGCCTTGAGCAAAAAGGCTCAAAAAAAGGAGAAATTATTATTTTTTTGTCAGTTGTGGGGCTTGAACTCTGGGCCTGGGCGCTGTCCTTATGCTCTTCAGCTCAAGGCGAGTGCTCTACCACTTGAGCCACAGCACCATTTCCAGTTTTCTAGTGGTTTATTGGATGTAAGAGTTTCACGGACTTTCCTGTCCTGGCTGGCTTTGAACCATGATCCTCAGATCTCAGCCTCCTGAGTAGCTAGGATTACAGGTGTGAGCCACTGGCAACCGGCTGAGAAATTATTTTTGCTTACATCAATCATCTCTTTTGCAGGTAGTAGAACATGAACTCAGGGCATTGGTGCTGTCCCTGAGCTCCTTTGCTCAAAGCTAGCATTCAACCACTTTGAGCCACAGCTCCACTTCCATTTTTCTGGTGGTGAATTGGAGACAAGAGTCTCACGGGGGCTGGGAAGGTGGCTGGGAAGGTGGCTCAATGGTAGAGTGACTGCCTTACATGCATGAGGCCCTGGGTTCAATTCCTCAGCTCCACATAAAACAGTGGGTAAAAAGCTGGAATTGGAGCTGTGGCTCAAGTGGTAGAGTGCTAGCCTTGAGCTGAAGAGCTGAGGGACAGTGCCCAGGCCTAGAGGTCAGGCTCCACAACTGACAAAAAAAAGTCTCACAAATTTTCCTGCCCTGTCTGGCTTTGAACAGCAATCCTCAGATCTCAGGGTTCTGAGTAGCTAGGATTACAGGTCTGAGCCACCAGTGCAAACAATTTTTTGTCAGTCTTGGGTCTTGAACTCTGGGAACTCTGGGCCTGCGCGCTGTCCCTCAGCTCTTCAGCTCAAGGCAAGTGCTCTACCACTTGAGCCACAGCGCCACTTCTGGTTTTCTGATGGTTTATTGGAGATAAGAGTCTCACGGACTTTCCTTCCTGGGCTGGCTTTGAACCCGATCCTCAGATCTCAGCCTCCTGAGCGGCTAGGATTATAGGTGCGAGCCACTGGCGCCCAACTCAATTTATTTTTAAATAAAAACAAACCTATGCACATTAAGAGGAAAATCCTCCTTTCTTTTTGTTCCAGTTGTGGGGCTTGAACTCAGGGCCTAAACCCTGTCCCTGAGCCTTTGTGCTCAAGGCTAGCACTCTACCACTTGAGCCACAGTGCCAGTTCTGGTTTTTGAGTGGTTAATTAAAGATAAGATTTTCATGGGGTTGGGTGCCCAGAGCTCACACCTGTAATCCTAGCTACACAGGAGGCTGAGATCTGAGGATCTCTGAGGATTGAGGTTTAAAGCCAGCTGGGGCAGGAAAGTGTATGAGACTCTTATTTCCAATTAACCACCAGAAAACCGGAAGTGGTGCTATGGCTCAAGTGGTAGAGCACTTGTCTTGAGCTGAAGAGCTGAGGGACAGCGTCCAGGCCCTGAGTTCAAGCCCCACAACCAAGAAAAAAAAAGATTCTCAAGGGGACTTTTCTGCCCTGGCTGGCTTTGAACTGATCTCAGCCTCTCAAGTAGCTAGGATTACAGGAGTGAGCCACCGGTGCCTGGCTAAATCCTTATTTCTAAATAAACCAAACAGATTCTCTAGTTGCAGGCAAATACTCAAGCAATTAGCAATATACATTTCCGGAACAGGAATAACAAAGAAAGCTGACATTATACTAATGGTGATGGCAGAGGTTCCATTTTCCATTCATCTTAGATGCACAGACAGGGTCATATGATGCTCAGGCAGGGATGCACAGTGTGTACATTCCTTTGAAGGGAAATCCAGTGATGCTTCTAGCTCTTATAAAAGGAAAATAGAGCCCTGTCAGCAGGGAGAGAGGTATACACAGGCCCCATCCAGCTCTCTCCAGGCCCTCTCTGTGAAACCTTTGTCACAAAGGCTGACCCTCAATGTAAAACTCAAAATCAAAGGATGAAAACTAGAAAATTAGTTAAGTGCTATACAATGTCCCATATTTTAAATTCTACTTACTAATACTTTTTTAAAAAATTAGCAACAATTTATATATATGAGATAGTATCTACACATTAGTGCCAATGCCTATTTTAGTTTACATTAACTCTCCAAATCATTGTAATTATAGCAGTGATGTCATTTCCAATTAGTTGAGAAAGTGTTTCCATGCCTAGATTTCATATGAGGAAAAAAAAATCACTTTGAACACAAACCAAGAATAGAAAACACTGAAATGTTGCCTCTCTTTTTTTTTTTTTTTTTTTTTATGTGGTGCTGAGGAATCGAACCCAGGGCCTCAGGCATGCAAGGCAAGCGCTTTAACCACTGAGCCACCTTCCCAGCCCTCTTTTGTCCTCACTATACATATTTCCTTTCCTAAATAAAATAAAAAATAATGAGAGGCTGGGATGTGGCTTAATGGTAGAGTGCTTGACTAGCATTCATGCAGCCCTGGGTTTAATTCCTCAGTACCACATACACAGAAAAAGCCAGAAGTGGTGTTGTGGCTCAAGTGGTAGAGTGCTAGCCTTGAGTTCAAGTCCCAGGACTGGCAAAACAAAATAATGAAACCAAAAGGAAAAATTCTGGCATCCCCTGAGAAGATAAAGTATTTATCTTACAACGCAAAGTTGACACATGAATGAATTATAAGTACCTGGCAGAGCTGGGTAGATGTCTCGTGCCTACAATCCTAGTTACTCAGGAGGCTAACATTTGAGGATTGTGACTAAAAGCCAGCCCAGGCAAGAAATCCAGGAGACTCTTATCTCCAGTTAACCACCAAAAAAGCCAAGTAAGTAAAGCTGTGGCTCAAGTGGTAGAGCACCAGCAAAAATACTTAAGAGACAACACCCATGTCCTGAGTTCAAGCCCTAGGACCGGCATACACACACCCAAAAAAGGTGCTTGGCAGAACACCATGTCATACACTGATGACAACTTAGCATTCAAGTTCTGTCTTATTTCCAGAAGTGTGTTTTGAATTTGTGCTCAAATAAATACTTGTTGAAGGTCTAAAAAATATGGTCCACTACCAGCACTTATTAGGAGAAGCATTATCAAATAAAATAAGCAAGGCAACAGGTGGCAGATAAACTCTGATACAGTAATATCAATTTTTTTTGTAGGTCCCTCAGTTCTTAAGCTCATGGCAAGCACTCTACCACTTGAACCACAGCACCACTTCCAGTTTTCTGGTGGTTAACTGGAGATAAGAGTCTCACAGACTTTCCTGCCTGGGCTGGCTCTGAACTGCGATCCTCAGATCTTAGCTTTCTGAGTAGCCAGGATTACAGGTGTGAGCCACCAGCACTGGCCAGTTATATCATTTTATATTACTATTGCTGTATTATTGTGTTACTATTTCCCCATGGTTTCAGTTCTCTAAGAGTTAAGAAATGAAGTATACCTGCTTGCTAACTAGATTCTCGAATACCTCAATAGTAAACCCATGTGAGTCTATATGCACAGGGTAAGTCCCTCTTCCATCACTTCCCATTTTAACAAGGCGAACTTCAGGATCCTCATTCTCAACATGAATCCATAAGGCCTTTGGTACAGGCACACAAAAGAAAAAGAATTCAGGAAAATTCTATATTTGTACTTACAACATGAAGGCATACAATCACATAGTATTTGGACCTACCAGGACGAAGAGGCCTAGATCTCCTTGTTTCCTTAGAGCTCTGACACTTAGGAGAAGATGGCTACCAATTTTAGGTATTTGAGATATGGCCTAAGTACCACTCCGAAGTTTGTGGGACAGCTTATATGGTATGATATGCTTAGAGTTCACAACTTTCCATCTGTAGCACTGTCCAACAGAAATATGGTACAAGCCAAATATATAATTTTGTAAGCTAATAAAAAGAAACTGGTAAAAATCAAGTTTGATAACACATTTGATTCAAATACAAATAATCATTTCAACGAGTGATTAAATATTATATAACATTAATAAGATCATTTACTTTTTTCTTGTCATATGTGGAACAAATGTTTAATAATACCAGAAATAATGATGTAACAATCATTATTGTACCTGTATATATACACCCATTTGAGATCTTTCACCTATAAAATATTAACTTTTTGAAATCTAGTATGCACACACAGTCTACCTCAATTTTTTTGGAGTACAACAATGGGTTTCAGCTGGTAGTACCAGCTGTCTCCCTCCCTCCTTTTTCTCCCTCTCCTTCCTTCCTTCCTCCCTCCCTCCCTACCTCTCTCCCTCCCTTCTTCCCTCCTTCCCTTCCTTCCTTCCTAACTTCCTTCTGTGGTTTGAACTCAGGGACTGTGCTTGCTCAGTTTGCTTTTTCCTGTGGCACTCTACCACTTTAGCCACTCCTCTAGTCCTAGCTCTACTCCTGCACTAGCCACATTCAAATAGCTAGTGGCTATTGTATTGGTGAGCAAAGTTCTAGAGTACACATAAACAATGAAACCGAGGTCTTCTGCATGTTAAGTCTCGTGAATTCTACCTACAGATGGACAAAAGCACAAGAGTCCAGTGGGGTTGGGATGGTAGCT